AAAATATTTGAGAGATACATACAACAGGGTACATCTTGCAGACTGTAAAGACTTTGCGACCACCCTTTCACTTCTTGATTCCACCCTCCAGTCCTCCCCCCTCAAAGAAACGACCGACCGGGTCCCCCTGCCCCAGGGACAATCGACTTGCAATCCAGCTCTGCCTCCCCAAGCTTCTTACACCTTTCCCCAAATTCTGAACCCACAGAGCCACTGCCACCACTGGAGTTTCCCAAACACACCTGGGCAACTGAGGTGCGCCCCCCCCATCCACCCCACATCTGCTCAGTCCTACCCTTCATCTTCCTGGGGAAGACAAGGCCCCCCATCTTCCACAGCAACTTAATAGCTACCAGAGGCAACACCTCTGGAGCTTCCCAAACACACCTGGGCAACTGAGGTGCATCCACTCCACATCTGCTCAGTCGTAACCTTCATCTTCCTGGGAAAGGCAAGACCCCCACCTTCCACAGCAACTTAATAGCTACCAGAGGCAACACCTCTGGAGTTTCCCAAACACACCTGGCCAACTGAGGTGCATCCACTCAACATCTGCTCAGTTGTAACCTTCATCTTCCTGGGAAAGGCAAGACCCCCACCTTCCACAGCAACTTAATAGCTACCAGAGGCAACACCTCTGGAGTTTCCCAAACACACCTGGGCAACTGAGGTGCATCCACTCCACATCTGCTCAGTCGTAACCTTCATCTTCCTGGGAAAGGCAAGACCCCCACCTTCCACAGCAACTTAATAGCTACCAGAGGCAACACCCCATTCAGGAGGACATGCCTATATAGCCTCCGATGAAGACTGTCTGAAACAGAAGGGAATTATGCAGCCCCACCCCACCCCAGCATATTACTCCAAACTTAAATTGTACAAGGTTGAAGAACGAAGACCCCACCATCCCATTCATTACAACCAGTGTGGTGCTGGGGTTAGAGTGCCAGACTAAGATCTGGAGGGGGCCGAGTTCAAATCCCGGTGTGAGCCACAAAAGCTCACTGGGTTGCCCTGGGACAGTCACACACTCTCCGTCGAACCTACCTCGCAGGGTTCTTATGAGGATAAAATGGAGAAGGGAAGAATGATATTACCCCGCTTTGGGTCCCCTAGCAGAAGAAGAGCGAGATTCAGGTGGGTCGCCGTGTTGGTCTTCAGAGACAGGACAAAGTTTGATCTTTAAGACCAACCAAGTTTAATTCTGGGTATAAGCTTTCATGTGCATGCTCACTCCATCAGATACCGAGGGGAGCAAAGCAGGCTGTAAAAATCAGATAATGATGTACGTTATTTAATTTGTACCCCACCTTTTCTCCCCAATGGGGAAGCAAAGAGGCTTATGTGGTTCTCCTCTGTTTTACCCTCAGAAGTAGGTTAAGCTGAGAGCACATGCCCAGCCCAAGGTCACCCAACAAGCATCCATGGAACGAGTCAGGATTCGAACCCTGGGTCTCCCAGATACTAGTCTGACACGCTTAAACCCCTACATCACACTGGCTCTAATTTTCACAGGAAGCACGTTGTGAGTGGTTACTGCTGAACGGGGATATAGGAGCCCCAAGTTCAAATCCCCACTCTTGCTATGGAAGCCTGCTGGGTCCTGTCTCACCCTCTCAGCCTAAACTACCTCACAAGGTTGCTGTGAGGATGAAATGGGGAAGAATGAATTACATACGATGCCCTGAGTTCTGCAGAAGAAGAGTGCAATCAAAACTTTCTAGATGGAGAGATGGGATTGTCTGGACCATCTTTAAACACTTGAAGATGAAAAAAGGAATGCAATGACATCACATGCATGAACACCCATCTTCCCTCTAAGCTGTGGAGTCTTGTGAGCAAAAATTCTACTTAGTGAGCTACTGGCATTAAAGTTGTGAGCAAGCGATTTGGCTCCTGCATAAATTAATTTGCTCTGGAGCCAACTTTTCTGAGCTAAGAAAAAAATGTGTGAGCCAGAGGCTAAAAATACTGTGAGCTAGCTCACACTAACTCAGCTTAGAGGGAACACTGCCGCACATGATATTTGCCGCAGCCAGACCTGGGGGGTTGGTGGCCAAAATTCAAAATTCAGCTCCCCAAGAGAGAAGAGGAAAAGAATAGATTTATAACCCACCCATCACTACCTGAAGGAGTCTCAGAGCAGCTTACAATCCCTTCCCCTCCCCACTACAGACACCCTGTGAGGTAGGTGGGGCTGAGAGAGCTCTCCCGAGAACTGTCCTTGAGAGAACAGCTCTGAGAGAACGTGTGATTGACCCAAGGTCACACCAGCAGCTGCGTGTGGAGGCGTGGGGAATCAAACCCGGTTCTCCCAGATTAGAGTTCGTGCTCCTAACCACTACACCAAACTGGTTCTCAGTTTGGAGTCCCCTAAAACCTCTGGGGGCTGCTGGATTCTGAGCCCCACACCCTTCACAACTGCAGGGGGTCACCCAGATTGGCTACCAAGATCTGGACCAAGGGACCACTATGAGCAGCCCCAAGATTAACCACAGTGAGATCCTGGGGCTGAAAAATCCACTTGGGATGACAGATGACTCGAGGGCCACAAATTCTTCCTGTTCTCACTTTTCAATGCCCTGTTCCTCTCTGGCTCAGTTTACTCACCGCAGAACTCTTCTAGTGACCTGAAATTACCACAAGAGAGCCCCTTAACAAGAGAGCTCTGACCTGCTGCACTCCAGGCAGAAGGGAATCCATCCAAAAGCCCCACCGCCACCCCCAGAGGAAGCCTGCAGCACCCCTGGGGTGGAACTCTGGAGAGGTGATCCCCTAACTCTTCCTGCCACACTGTTTCAGGGATTACTTTGGATCACTAGCCCCTTCCTCCCAAAGCCAGGGGTATGATTCTAACACCAAACACGGCTATGGGGATACAAAACCTAAGCCTGGACCCTTCCCCCCAACACCACCTTCAGCCTGGCAGTCTCCCCTCCCTAATACACCAGGGGTTTTGCTCCCTGCCCCACAATAAGACTCCCAGGTGGGCAATCAATTTAAGGATACCTTGCCTTACTATCCCTGCTCTAAAGGTAGACTGGTAGCCATGCGGCAGGGGAGGAGCTTTTGTAAGTCTGAAGAAGGGAGCAGTGAGTCACAAAAGTTCATAACCTGCCACAAATTTTGTTAGACTCAGGTGGGTACCATGTTGGTCTGCAGCAGCAGAGCAAAGTTTGAGTCCGGTGGCACCTTTACAACCAACAAAGATTTATTCAATGTATCAGCTTTCACGTGCATGCACACTTCTTCAAATTGTGTTAGTCTTGAACGTGCTCCTGGACTCTTGCTCTTTTCTCCTGCTACAGACAGACTAACACGGCATCCCATCTGGATCTATCCGAAGAAGTGAGCGGTGGCTCAGGAAAGCTCGTTCCCGGCTGCAAATGTTGTTAGTCCTTAAAGGGCTTCTGGACTCTTACTCTTTTCTCCTGATACATACAAACACAGCCACCCATCTTGATCTAGCTGAAGAAGTGAGCCCAGCTTGAGAGGAGACAAATGGAGCGTAACAATAGGATCTCAGTGAATTACTCTTAAAGGTAAAGCCAGTCGAATCTGACTCTAGGGTTGCGATGCTCATCTCCGTTTCAAAGCCGAAGAGCCAGCGCTGTCCGAAGACGTTTCCGTGGTCATGTGGCCGGCATGACTAAACACCAAGGTGCACGGAACGCTGTGACCTTCCCACCGAAGCGGTACCTATTTATCTACTTGCACTTTCTTGCTTTTGAACTGCTAAATTGGCAGGAGAATTACTCTTAACGTTCCACAATTAAGGAGGATACATTTACACATCAGTCTCCTATTTTGACATTTATTTGCTTCACTGTGTTTCCCCCATAATTAAATCCAAACAAATGGTGACCATATAAAATTAGCTTGTTATTCCTGTTTGGTCTTTGCATCTGTCAAAACATGTTCATTATGTTGTATACTAATTTACTGTTCACCCTCTGCCTATATGTATGGACTGTTAACTCCCATTTCAATGTATCTGAGGAAGTGTGCATGCACACAAAAGTTCACACCTTGAATAAAACTTTGTTGGTCTTAAAGGTACCACTGGACTCAAACTTTGTTCTACTGTCACTTGTGCTGCTGGACTCTCGCTTTTTTTCTCCTGCTCCAGACAAGCTGACATGGCTGCCCATCTTGATCTGCCTGAAGAAGTGAGCAGTGACTTATATTCCCTGCCACAAACTGTGTTAGCCTTCAAGGTGTTACTGGACTCTTGCTCTTTTCTAGGACCAGCTTCTTCAGCTCTGAAGAACTGAGCAGTGACTCACTAAAGCTCATGTACCCTGCCACAAAAGTTGTTAGTCTTGAAAGTGTTCCTGGACTCGTGCTCTTTTCTAGTGCTACAGACAAACATGACCACCTATCTTGAGCTATCGGATGAAGTCTTGAAGGTGCCACTGGACTCTTTTCTCCTGCTGCAGACAGACTAAGGTGGCTACCCATCTTGATCTGTCCGAAGAAGTGAGCAGTGACTCAGGAAAGCTCCTCCCCATAAATTGCCACAACTTGTGTTAGTCTTGAAGGTGCCACTGGATTCCTGCTCCAAAGGTTAGACTACCAGCAACAGCCTGATGTTATTCTGCTCCAAAAGCCCCTGAGAGGGTTCAGGGAGATGCAAAGCCCGGACAGGAGGCCTCACTACCAGAGGCAACTACCTCGGATTACCCAGAGAAGCCAACCTGGATTTTCAACCCCCTCCCCCGTGAAAGCACAGGGCAGGGGGGGGGGGAGAGAGAGAGACGGCACGGTGGTGCAGTCACCGGCCAGCAGCAGGTCCCCATCGCCACTCTGCCGCGGAGCTGGCTGCGTGACCTTGGGCCCGTCGCTCTCCACCTGGCCTACCTCTCCGGGTTGCTGTGTGAGCGTGAAACAGGAGCTACTCGAAGCGCCGGAGCCGCCCGGAGGGGCGCAGACGGGTTCCGCAGGCGGCCCCGGCCCCCCCAAGGCCTCCCTCCTCTCCCCACCCCCCTCCCCGGGCTTGCCTGAAGTCGCTGTAGGGGTGGATGATCCAGGCGCCGGCCGACTTGACGCGCTCCTGCTCGCGCTCCACCGCCTTCTGCGAGCCGAACATCCGCAGCGAGAACTTGTTGACGCCCGGCTGGAGCATGGCCCCGAACTGCCGCTGCATGAAGCTCGCCTGGCTCCCGAGCGGCTCCCCCGCGCCCGGCCCGGCCTCGCCTGCCGCCGCCGCCGCCGCGCCGCCCTCCTCGGCCGCCTTGGGGGAGCCGCCGCCGTCGGGGCTGCAGGAGAAGGAGACCTTGGGCTGCGCCCGGCCGCCCATGCTGCACCCGCGCCGCAGCGCCAGCCGCGTCCCGCCTTTGGAGGCGTCCTCCGGCACAGCAGACGCCGCCGCCGCCGCGGCCCCGCCGTCGCCCCCCGGCCGCATGCTGGACCGCTGCGGCAGCCCCGAGCGACGGACCGATCGAGCGACGGACGGACGGACGGATGGCCAGCCACCAGCACCACCCGGCTGCGGCAGCAGCAGCAGCAGCAGCAGCGACTGAGCCGGGTGGAGGCGGAGCCCCGAGGCCCCGGGGAGGGGCTCCGCCGGGGGAGGAGCCACGAGGGGCGGGGGTGGCCGGAGCGCTGGCCCCGAAAGGGAGGCGAGGGCCACCTGCAGACCTGGAGCCGGCGGGCGCCGAAGACGCCTTGGCATGCGCGGTGTCGTCGCCCCCCCCCCGCCCCCAATTTAAGCCGCGCAAAAGTGCCGCGTATCAGAGACTCTCTGACGGCTCGACTGGATACCCTGCTCCGTTGGCGCGGCGGCGTCTTGGCTCTGCGACTTGCAACCCTCTCTTAGGTCTGCCTGACGGGGACCCCCACCACGACGCTGCAATCTGGAGAAAAGTGACGCTACGGAGTCCAGTCGCCCTCACCTCCTCCCTCTGCTTCCTGTGCTGCTGGCTTTCTAGCTGCAGAGATTTCCTGAGGCAGGCAGACATTTCAAAAAAGGGACAGTCGGAAGACCTTCTCCTACGCTTGACCGGGCATCACTTAGGCATCACTTACACCCACGCAACCCGTCAGGAGTTTGGGCATGGTCCTGGATGCCTCCTTAACTGTGAAGGCCCAGGTCACAAATATTGCCTGGCTGGCGTTTTTCCATCAGCACTAAGCACAGCAATTAGCCCTTTTCTTGTTGCGCCCTGCCCTGGCCGCAGTCATCCACACAAGGGTCACCTCCAGGCTAGACTACTGTAACTCATTCTACACTGGCCTACCCTTGAGACTGACCTGGAAATGCCAACTGATCCAGAATGCAGTGGCGAGGGGCCTTACAGGAGCGCCACAGACAGCACATATTCAACTGGTCCTCCGCTGGCTTCCAGTGGAGCAGCAAGTCAGATTCAAGGTCAGGTCCTGACCTTCAAGGGCTTGAGTGGTCTGGGACCCATGTATCTTCAGGACCACCTCCTCTAGTATGTCCCCAGGAGAGCATTACGCTCTGGTGAGAATAACCTGCTGGTGATCCACGGGCCCAAAGATATCTGGCTATCCTTGACCAGAGCGAGGGCCTTTTTGGTCCTGGTTCCGGGCTCGTGGAATTCTCTGCCAAACACCACCAGGACTCTGTGTGCAATTCCACAGGGCCTGTAAAGCAGAGATGTTCCACCAGGGTTTTGGCTGAGGGCAGCAACGTTTTTTTTCCTTGGCTGGCACCCTCCCTTGTTCGTCCATCTTTTTCATCTTTCCCCTCCTCATGTCCCACCTGCAAGGAGGTGACATGGTCTAGAATGGGTTTTTAAGAATCAGATCAATTACTCCCTTTTCGAGATTAAGAATTTATTGAATGTATTTATTGAATCTATGAATTTTAACTTGTGGTATTTGATTTTAACTTTCGTTGTACCAGTTTGGTGTAGTGGTTAAGTGTGTGGACTCTAATCTGGGAGGATCGGGTTTGATTACCCACTCCTCCGCTCACATCTGCTGGATGACCTTGGGCAAGCCATAGTTCTGTCAGAGCTGTCCTTGAAAAAGAGCAGTTTCTGTCAGAGCTCTCTCAGCCCCACCTACCTCACAAGGTGTCTGTTGTGGGGAGGGGAAGGGAAAGGAGTTTGTAAGCCACTCTGAGCAAAGGGCGGGGTATAAATCCAATCTCCTCCCCTCCTATGAGATGGCAATGAAGACTGCTAAGAAGGAATTCTACGCAGCCTCCATTACGTCCGTTCCCTCCGCCTTGCAGTGTGATCGTAAAGGAGCAGTGGGGCTGGGGGAAGGGAAAGGAGTTTGGAAGGGAGGGGAGGGGAAAGGAGTTTGGGAGCCGCTCTGAGAGTTCAAGCGAAGGGGGCGGTATAAATCCAATCTCCTTCTCCTCCTCCTCTTCTTCTTCTTCATTGTCCAGAGCGATTGGGTGATTTATAAATCTAAAATATAAATAAATAAAAGTATTTGGCCCCCACATTCCCTCTTCCTTTTGGGCCTTGCTTCTGTGTAAGACAAAGATCAGAAATAAGTAAGAAGTCGGGAATACAAAGGAGGCCAGGCAGCCTTGGATTTGCCATTAAGCAAAACTGAGGACCTGCGAAGAAGAAGAAGATGAGGAGGAGGAGATTGGATTTATACCCCACCCTTCACTACCCGAAGGTGTCTCAGAGCGTCTTACAAACTCCTTTCCCTTCCCCTCCCCACAACAGACACCCTGTGAGATAGGTGGGGCTGAGAGAGCTCTGACAAAAACTGCCCTTTTTCAAGAACAGCTCTGACAGAACTATGGCTTGCCCAAGGTCATCCAGCCAGGTGCAAGTGGAGGAGTGGGGAATCAAACCTGGTTCTCCCAGATTATCCGCACACTTAACCACTACACCAAACTGGCTTAGGGAACCAAGGAAAGGAGAGGAGCACCACAGAGCCCCCCCCCAGCTATCGTGCTTTTAACTCCTTCACTGCCACACTCTGTTAAATAAACAGTGTTAGATAAATAACACATTTTTAAAAGATTATATTTAATATAGTTGTGGGGTCTGGCCTGGGGGGAAACTGAATTTTTAATTGCTTATTTCACCTTCAGCACTTATTGAGTCTTATTGTCTTGTCAGTTAAGCAACGGAAGGGCCGAGGGGTGCCCTTGTTGGGCTGTGTGTTTAGGGCATCAGTTGGCCTTCATTCAGCCCTGGCGCTGGGACAAGAGGGGTGGAGGGGATGGAAAGAAAAGAATTCAATCAGGAAAGGGGCAAGCAGGGCTGTTGTTTTTTGTGAAGAAATTCAATACTTGGGGAAAGATAAGAGGCAGCCTGAATTCTCTCACTGTTCATACAGAATCAGGCGGGTAGACGTGTTGGTCTGAAGCAACAGAACAAAGTTTGAGTCCAGTCAGGCACCTTAAAGACCAACAAAGGCTAATTCTGGGTATGAGCTTACCTGAAAGCTTCTCCTCAGAATTAAACTTCCTTGGTCTTAAAGGTAGGGTTTCCAGCCCCCAGGTCTGGGTGGGGATTCCCCTGCTTTTGGGGCCTCCAATCTGCCCCTGGCCAGCTGGACCCCTCCCTTCCCATTTGCCAGATTTAAAGGGCTTCAGCTGATCAGCGGGGACCATGTGGCCCACTGACCTGCTGGAGGGCCCTTTAAATCTACCAGGCGGGAGGGAGATAGGCAGTCGTGGGCCACACACTCGGCTTGCAAAAAGACCCTTTAAAGGGTCTTTTTGCGAG